GGGACCAAATTTACTTGTGAGAAGCATTTTAAAAATTAGAGAAAAAAGAGAAAAGAACAAACCTGCAGTAAAGATGTCAAAGTTGGAATATCACTAAAAGTGCAACAATTTCAAGATTGGGGCAGAAGGTGTTTTACTTTCTACTGAATCTATTTCCTAGACATGTAAAGCAGTATTTGAATTATTCCTATTGAGTCTATAGAGCAGAAGAAAGGCCATCTTTTGCAGGAATCTGAGAGTTTTCAGAGCGTTGCTGCAATGTGTCTCAGTGCTAATGCTTGAACTTCTCGAAGAGAGTAATATGTTTGTCCATACCCCGTGCCTTCAGATGGGGCACTGGAACTTAAGTGAAGCAGGACTGTTTGCCCAAGCTAGCAGCACCAGTGGGAAAATGTCTGTGCCTGAGGGCTCAGGAATGGCACCTCAGGTCAATGGGCGGGGGCAGGCTTTGAAGACGCTGCCCTCAGTGACTGAAAAGCTTCCATGTGAATTGCCTAACATGGGATGGGAGCAGAGTGACCAACTGGGCTTCCCCTGCCCCAGCTCTAGCCCTTCTGACATGGTGTGCTCAGACCAAGCCACTGGTCTAGAACTGCTGGAGGGGAGGCACTGGCAGACAGGTCCACCTGGTGCATCTCAGTTGCTGCCTCCAGCTGTGTTGGTGCAGCTGGGCATTCACTGCTTCCTGCTTTGGCTGCCCAGGCAGAGCAGGTGGAGCAGCAGGGCCCAGCTCCCAGAGCTGCACTTGCAGCTCCAGCCACTGGTGTCATCAGTGTCTGCCAAGTCCAGATCAAGAGTACCTCAGTGATGACAGTGAGTATTTCTTGTCCCTCACAATAATCATGTGGCCATCCTCTCCCTCACTCCTCCTTTCCCAAGTGCTGCCAAAGGCAGTGCCATGCTCTCATCCACATTTGACTACTGGGGACCCAGTGATGTGGGGACCCAGTGATGTGCCAAGTGCAGGTTGCACTTGAATCCCTAGTGCACAAAGCTGGAATTGAATGAGTATGAAACTGCAGTTGAGTGACTTATTGGGTCCTTATCCATGTCTCATGGAGAGAGCTGTGATCAGGCTCCAGGCACACTTCCAGGAATAATTTTTTTTGTGCTGGAAACATAAAGCCAGCTGTTTCCATCATGATCTTATACTTCTACTGTCCATTTTTTGTCGAAGTTAAGATACGTAGATATATGAGGAAATGAAATTTAAAAAAAACTTTCGTTATTCAAAATAGGAATTTTAATTTTGTCTCGTTTTTCTTGAGTGATATGATTGAGATCCTTGCTTGCTTTGTCTGAATCATTTACTGGTCCCCAGCTGTCTAACCATGCTGTGATAAGAATACCAGAACAGTGTGTATATTGACTTGCCATCCCTGGGCACTTTTGGCCTTTTTCTCCTTGGAAGTTGTTGAAAATAGTGACACCACCTATTGGTAAAACAGTACAACAAGGAATGATGCTTATGAACATACTAAGAATAGTAAAATGGAGAAGAGAGCTTGAAATGTACTCCAGATTGTATTGCACTTTAAGGTGTTTTTTTTAAACAATCTATTCTCTATTTCATATGCTTGTGCATAACATGTCCTTGAGTTAAAATAAGCAAAGAAAAACAAAAACTCCAATCAACAAATGTAAAACCACCTTAACCTATGGTTTCTAAAATAATAATACAAAGACAATCTTCCTGGTCATTCTGTGCTGGTTGGTCTGTTGATCAGTGCTATTACTTCTTTTAATGTTTTTAAAATGAAAAAAAAGAAATTGTCCGCCCTTAAAAAATGCTATTTAGAAGATGTTAAAGGCATTGGGACTTAAATTATTTCCTCCTCAGTTGCGAAATAACTGGAGCTAACTTCTTTTTCTTTCTTTTCTTGTTCTCATTCTTTATTTTTAACAAATGTTATCAATTCTCTAAAATGAATGCTTTGTCTGTGGCAGATTAATCAGTGTTTGAAAGGCAGTTACTGGTGGCTGCTGTTTAAGTTGCAGTGTTCTCAGAAGGAGGACTTGCATTAGTCTCAAGTGGTTTTGGGGGTGCATTATGATTAATGGTCTCTGGCAATTCACCTTGGGTGTGATAGTCACTAATGTTTACATCAGTAGACAGAGCAAAAATTACTTAGTTACATATCATGGGGCCTCTATGATGACAGAGATGGTCAATATTTAGAATTTGTTTAAAAAACAACCTATTTCTACTCCTGCTTTGTGTGATGATCTTGACAAAAAGAGAATTGTAGTGGTTTCTGTTTGGAATCTCTGCTTTTTTTTTTAATCTTGGGGTGATAACTGATAGCTGAAGAATGTTATTCACAGGAACTGGGTATAGAAATGCCATGTTTCACTGAAGATGTATTGCAGTACTGTCTTCACTGTTGTCATGACTGGCTGAGCAACTGGAATGGAGCACAGCAACAGCTGGGAAGCATGAGGAAATCTCGGTAGGGATAAATAGGTGCTCTTATTGCAGCTTCTGTTCATAACTCAGCTCTCTGTCCTACGAGTTGGGGACTAACCTAAAAGTGCTGTCTATGGATGTCCCCAGAGCACATTGGGTGATTTGCTGTGCATGTTCTGCTGAGGAGCTCCCATCCTGTGAGAAGAAGGTAACCCTGTGAGGGAGGAGGCTGTGCTCAGAGGCAGAGCTGTGCATACAAGACAGACCAGACTGTTGTGAAGCACAGCAGTCCTGTAACTCCAAGAGGAAACTAGAGATGAGCAGGAAAGAAACCTTCCAGCTGAGCTGAGGAATGGAGTAAAACCTTGATGAGCATTGTGTGGGAAAAGCCTTCCTAGTAGTAAAATGAGTGTCTGACAGGGTTCCAATGAGATGAATAGTTTTACTATTATGGTGAAGTTTTTGGACAGAATAATACTTGAGTAAAATACATAATTGCAAGGAAAAAAGTATTTGGCTTTGAGGTTTTTACCAACATGCCACATGTCCAAATTCATAGCCATTGATTGAGATGTCAGCATTTGTAACAAAAATAATAGCATTTTAACTTCTATTGTACACATATTCAGAATATTCTGCACTGTGAAAGTGTGTCAAGTTGCTTTCGACTAGAAAAGCAAGAAATGGTATGTAAAATATTTCAATTACAAATATCAGAAAATGCATATAGAATACTGTGTCACTTTTTTTGCCTTTATTAGCATAGACAGAGGAGGGATGGTGAATGCAAATGCTGATGTGATTCTGTGACTCCTAACACTTGCAGGGTCATGGCCAAAGAAAAGCAAAGCATGAGGATAAATCTTATTATGTTTTACCACTGTTATTACAGTTCAACTTCTTGGCTACCAATAAAGTTATTAATTCCCTCTTATTCCTGTACATCCTTTTCCTTAAACAAGCATAGATCAAAACTGTATGTGTACTTCTGGCATTCTCATGTGAATGTGGGCGTGAGGGCTCCCAAATAATGGAGAGCTGATTCTGTGACTGGAATGTGTTTGCTTACTGTCTGTGTGGGTGCTAAGTATCCATGAATGTTTTAGCACAGTCTAGCTTGCTCTTGGTTTCAGTACAAGATAGTACACTGATGCATCAGTCCAGCAATGACATGTAGGATTTAACATTTAAAGGTGAAAACCACTTGTGGATGTACTCACTACTGGGCAACCCAAGGGCAAGTTGCTGCTAAATATGACTGAGTTGTTAGATGAACAACTCTAGACAGAGAATGACACTGAGAGAAGGTGCTGGATGCTACTGGTGCACATCCTGTCAGAGCTCTGTGATGGCTTCTCTCAGTTTAAGAGCTTTACTGGAGTGAGTGGTGGAAGTCTACTGTTGTGAGCAATAATTCTCATCTTGGGAGGTGTATAACTACAAATTTTGTCTTCAGTGTATTCAAAGGATAAGTAGGTGTTTCATGTAGTTCCATTTCCTCGGTAGCTCAGCTGTGTCTTTACCTGTACCATGGCCTGACACTTGAGCATTGTGTGAGACAAAGCTGAGCCAGCCAAGCCTGTGCTACACTGCTGACATATCAGTAGGTGCCTGTGTGTGGCATAAAAACTACTGAGAAGATTTTGGAAAAGAGAGCCGTGTCCGTAACTGAGGAGAGCAAAATCTGTCTAGACACTGGAAATGCTTTCAGCCTCTATTTCAGTTTTGTGGTGCACACAAGTAGTTACAGGGGGGGAAAAGTCCTTTCTAATGTGTAGCAAAACTTAACAATGCTGATGCAAAATATGTGTATTCCATGGAAGGGGTGATGAGGTAGTCTCAAACTTTAATCACTATTAATTTATCTGCAAAAGGTTCTAGTGATCTAAAGTAGCATTTCTGTAAATAGTGCTATATTTCAACTTCATTCCATAACTATTTGTGTATGCTGGAATATGCAGGGTTTCCAAATATCTTCCTTCTCAAATCCCACCAAGCTTTTTCTTCAAGCATTACAACAATGAGAAAAACGCGAACATAAACTTTGAGCTCTTTGTTTGTAAAAAAAGCCATTTGTGGGATGGGAGTGAATCTTTCCCACCCTGGGTTTCAGGCAGCAGTAGCTTGAGCAGGAAGTGCTGTATTTAAGTGGAATATGACTGAAACATTTTAGTGAGAAATGTATTTTTTTTTTCATGTCAGTTTGATGCTGCTCAGAGATTTAAGACAGTAGATGGGAAGAGAGTAAGCAAAGGGTACAAAAGGTAGTCAAAAGTGCAAGCAGAATATACTTAGAGTGCTCCTCTCCATGACTAAAAAAGTGTCTGCCTGGATCCACAATTTAATATCGTTGGAGGATTTGGGCAAAATGCATAATTTTTCAGAAATGTTTAAGAAATTTGATGTCATAAGGAATTACTGAAAAATGCCGTCACTGTTTGTTAATTAATTACCTCACCATTCAATTTCAACACCCAGACCATGGATGCAGTACTAGTTTGATGCCATCACTCCACCTTTTTGCTTGTAAACAACCACTTAACATGTAACAGCTTGAAAACATTCATAAGTTATTTGTTTGTTTTCTTCACAGGCTGGAATGGTGTTAAGATGTGGATACTTCTGGTTTGGCTTGTTTCTTGTGCCCACTGCGTGCCTTGTTAAAGACGTGGCATGGACAGCGTAAGTCCCAAACCAGTCCTCTTGGTCTTGTAGGAATTATTCTCTATGCACGTGTTGTCCAGTCCAGTATTGTTCTGTGAAGAACTCTGAAGTCTCTCAGTGATTGCAAAATGGTGGTACTCATTTGGAAGGGAAAAAAGGTGAAGTGGGAGATTCCTCACCTGCCATGGCACCCAGCAATGTGAGAGAATGAATGGCTGGGGGAGGGAATCTGGAGGAGGTGGCCTTGTCTGAGTAGTGAGGGTATGTCACTTTAGGATTACTTGTGTTGTCTGTGCTTCAGTTAAAGGCAAATTTAAATTGAATGTCTGAGATTTCTTGAAAATGGAGCAAATAATTTGTTGAATCTGACTAAGGTTAGGTAGAAAGTAGAAATGTGGCACTCTTAATCCATAGCCAGGAAGCTCTCAGTTCTTTGTCAGCTGCTTTTTAGGTTCTCCTTCAGCAACTGGGTCTTTGAAGACTGAACTGGGAGAAGAACAATACTCTGCTCTTTATGTTTGAAGTGAAATCTTAATGGTACCTTCACTGCCCAGAGAGGAGGAGCAAACTGGTGAAATACAAGCCTGTGTAATTCCCTTCTCTCAAAATTTTGGGGTTTCAAAGCATTGCAGAAGGCAAACAATTTCAAGAACTTGGATTTAAAGGGAAGCAATTTACCATCTCTGCCATTGCAATTTGAAATACAGAAGTAATAATTTTAATTTAGAATTTGTGGCCTTTTGTTCAGCTGACTTCTAAGTGTTTTATGCACCAAACCTTAAACCTTCCATCTTTTCCCTTGGAAGGCTGTGTTACAATTAAGAAGGTTTTTTTTACATGGATACATAATAACTTTGTGCAAGGGGGACCCTGGACATTCCAACTCTGGGGCAAAAAGGCTGAATCCTGCATGGAATGAAGAGGAAATACAAGTTAGCTTGTAACTTGTCAGAAAGGCTCAGTGAAAGCGTCATGGCACATAACACTTTGCTCCCAGAATGGGAGTTGGTCAGTCAGGGAAGATTCTTGGAATCATACAAGCATATAGGTTGGAAAAGACCTGTGGGATCATTGAGTCCAGCTGTAAAACTAACACTGCAAAGTCCACCAGTTTGCTTTACAGAAACATGCAGAAAATACTAAAAAAGCCAGAAAGTTTCCCAAGCATAGGCACATTTCAAACACCTTCATGAAAGGTAATTCATATGCACGGATCAGAAAATCTGGTTTTATTTCATATGGGGTTGATAGCACAGTGAAATTAAACTGGTAGTAGGCAAATCGGCCACTCAGTAAGTACTTCTTAAATTTTGTCCCTCAGCTTAATTTTCACAAGCTAGACTGCTCAAATTAAATCTAGATATTGTAATGTGAAATTTCAACTATGATTTAATAGTCCAGCACATCAGAGGTTTGGGGTTGTTTTTGGGTTTTTTTGCACTCGCTAAACTTCTGCAATTGCAAGTGATTTTAAAATTCTAAAACTGAGGCCAAAATGTTTAAATTTAGATATTTTACTGTGTCTGTGACCTGCTTGTTAAAACTCTGAAAAAAAAATCTTTAGCTTTTTTAATGTTTTCATGGTAGTTGAGTGTCCTGAAGTTGTCCTCTTTTCTTATCAGTTCTTGGCAAAAATGACTCATGAATTGTTAAACAGGCTAGACCATGGCAGGCTCATCCTCAGCCATTAGTCATTTCAAACTCTGTTACTGACTGAGCCTGTTCTTTAATATTTCTTAAAGAAATCTCAGCAACATAATCCTTTTAGTCATTCAGACTGACAATGTATAGAGACTATGAAGCTCTCAAGACAAACATGTGTGATGGATAGGCCAGATATTTTCCCAACAGATTTTAAACAGGAGGCTCCTAACAATATTAAGCTAAAAATCTCTTCTCTAACCAAGATCTTTTTTTTTTCTTTTTTTAAACTCAGCCATCACTGAAAAATTAACATCATTAACATTTTAACTAGGATAAATGAAATGACACAGCTATCAGTACTGCCATATGGAAGGGAGTAAAGGTCTGTTTCCTTTCCAAGAGGCTTGCCATTTAAAACTGGAGCCTAAGGCTTCTGGAAATCAGCTGGCACATTTCCACAGCAGTGGTTACACCACATTGCTCTCTGTAATTCAGCAGAATATGGTTTTGGCTATAAAATTCCAGCAACTGTGACTGCTCATGGTCATGGAATTTATCCCTTTCAGTTTCTTTTGGACATGAAGCATATGTCCACAGACAGAACATCCATATGACCCAAAAGGTACATGTCTGATTTCTGTACAAAATACTGCCAGAAAGCCATAAACACAGTACAGAGTTTTGTACAGTCTGGAACAAGGTTGATTGGAAAGTCTGTTTCAGACACATACAAATCTTTTGCTTATAAACTGCTGTGCTGCATCTACTATCAAAATTTCTAATGCTGGAAGCAAGAACGTGTTTCCATTGTTACACAGGCTTCAGTTGTCAACACATCACTTACTTCCCATGTTCTCTGTGGCTCCGGGCTTTTTTATTTTCTTTTTCTTTTTTTTTCCCCTTTTAAATGAATCAAGGAAATGTGGAAAACTCTTTTTAAAGAGAAGGAAGCTTATTATTAATTCTTGGTTGCAATACATTGTTAACTTTGGTCCACTACCCTGAATTCAGGGTAGTGATTTGCCATGTAAAAATCCTAGTTGTGCCACCATTGCAATGAGCAGAGCTTTGTAAGGTGAGTGCTCCCTCACAGCTGGCACATGTCACTTGAATACATGTCACTGGCTCTAGGAAATCTTGGAATAGCTGACTCACAGAAGTATGTGGGAATCATAAAAACACAGCATGTATTCCAGCAATATCAGGAAAAGTGCAAGAATTTATTCCTAATTGGTGTCTCAGTGCTTATTTTACAGTGAAAAATTTCCTGAGCCTTCAAATCATTAAAATCATTACCAAAATTTTAATGAACTTTTTTTTTTTTTACCACGGGGAAGAAGCAGTTTGCACTTGCCAGTTCTGCAGTGTAAGTAAGAGAAGAAGATACAAGGAGCTCTTCCCATCTTTGCATATACTTGCAGTCCCTGAAATACAAGACTCATAAAGTGGTACTGAGGATGATAAGCCAGAGTAGAGATAGTGCCATGTTTGAGAAACATTTATGAATGTCACCGTGCTTCTCCCTGGCAGATTCTGGCTTCCTGAACCCCCTAAATATCCTAGGTCAGTGAAATGATGCACTTCCCTGGCTTTGAAGGGGAAGGGCTACACAAAATACAAAGATGTCCTTTTGCCTGTTCTTGCAGTCCCTGATCTTAAAATCCCAGCATGTGAGGGAAAAGTGAGTTTGTCTTTATGTAATGCATCAAATTTTAGCTGAACAGTAACAGCAAACACAAAATCTCACTGTTCACTGAGGACTGATTGTGCATCCAGGGTCACTTGTGGAGTACTAACCTAAAAGCTCAGAATCCTACCTGTATTTCTGTGAATCAAAAGTTTGTAAAGTGCTGTAGGGAAAAAGTCATGAAGTAGTATCCAGTCCTGTTGCCAGCAGTCTGTGGAATATTTGCAGTTGACTTTGATAGGAGCAAGCCCAGACTCTGAGGCAATTGTAATACCATATTTCAGTATTTTTTTTTGAAGGAACATGTGGATAGGTTCCTCAGGTCTTTTTCATATTCTTATATTTATTGATAATACTTGATTACTGACCATTCCATGGGTGCTCTTGCTTCCAAGTGAAGGAGTGACTCAATGCATAGCAACTATCAGCCCCAGAAGAGCCCGCGTGTTTCATCATTTCACACTACTTACAAAACATTTCATTATTCCCAATTTCAGGCCAACAGTATTTCTTCCATGTTGTATCATGTCAGTGTCATGCCTCCTGGTGCTGTGCTGCAGAAACTGGACTTATTGATCAGGATCCATTCTGTCAAATTTTGAATTCAGTATTCACTCTAAGGGAAAAGAAGAATATCTCTTATGGCTTATGGCAAGATAAACATGGAACTTTGGAAGAGATTGAATAACATGAATAACATTTCTATGTTCTTGTCGGTGGGGAAAAACTGGTTGTGAAGGATTTGAAAAATTCTAAACATGCTCAGTCTTGAAGTTTGCAGTAGGGATGACCTCTTTAAAAGGGAAGAGATGAAGGTCAAAATTTCAATGCATTTATTTAAATTAAAGACTGTGATAGTGAATTCAACTGAAAAGCTTATAAAAATTAATAGCCTCAAAGCTTTCTCATTTTAATAGCTATACTTTCCCTTCCTCAAAGAGGAGACCAGTCTAATCGTTGGCCTAACTAGTTATAGCAACTTGAATCTAATTAATTTCTGTGCAGCTGTTGGTAATCTCACATTGCAGAAGCATTATGCATTTTAGAAATACCCTTGCTACTCATTTCTTTTGACACAGTATGTTGGTGTTAGAAATCATACACCTTTGGTGGTTTGTTTTAACAATATACCATTCTAAGTACATCCTGATAATCTTTACCTTCATATTTTGCTGTGCTTCATCTTCTGGTTTGTTTTTTTTCTCTTAACTGCAGATGTGTTTTGAAAGTTGTTTTCATTTTAGCTTCTCATTTTTAGGTATTTGGAGCATAATTCAGCAACACGAAGACCAGAGAACTTAGATATCCTAGTATCAGTATCAAGGCACTGTCATAAACAGTGCCAGCAAACATTTTGTGGTCTTTGTTTCTTATTCCCTGTGGAAGGAGCAATAGTATGATACTTTTTAAAAATAAATGCATCTTCATTATTTTTAATTACATATGCACCTGTTGTTATTTTTCTGTTAGAGGGAGTTTTACACTGTTTTATATCATTGGCTAAAGATTTCAATGTCTGCATGTTTTATAAAACTTGTAAAGATATTTTGCCACCTTTGAGCTGAAGAATATTAATTTAATGCTATGAAGCAAGTAGTGTCTCAGCCAACTTGGCTCCATCTTGTTTGTAGGCTTATTGTGCAGTCACATGCAAATCAATATATTCTCATGGGACACTTGTCCTCCTTTAACTGGCACAAAAGAGGAAGCTGATCAAAAACTGCCCATGTGAGAAAGATCCCTGCATTTTGTGTTCTTGCTTTGTACAGGTCAAGAAAGAAAAAGGGGGCTCGATTGTCTCCCCTATGTCAATGTAATTTAGGTATAATAGCCCTGGAGCAGTAGGTGAACCTGGGGTGGGGGGAAAGGTCCAAGTCTCTTCATGGGGGACTCTAGATTGCACTCTAAACTTTGATTGCGTGTGTGGTGCATGGATTACTCATTGAATCCTCAAGCTGAAAAAGTAGGAGGACACAGCCAGTCTTGTCACTGTCAGTTTGGAAGTTCATTGAGGAGAGAAGTGCCTTTCCAGTCACAGGAGACTGATAAATGAAAATCAAGGGGCTTGAATGGCAATTATTAGCTGAGACTCTGCTCTGGTTTTCAGAGCGGTGCCACGCGTAGCTCAAAAGACAGAGTGGATTCATGTTTTACTGCCATGAATATTCAATGAATCCCAGCTCTTTTGTCTGAGTACCCGGGTCCTGAGCAATCCCACGGCAGCAGGGTCAGGTCTCTGTGGTCCCATAGCATTGCTGCTTGGCTAGGTTTTGAGTGCTATGTTGAAGTGGCTGAGCTCTCTTTAATTTGAAGTCGTCCTGATTTGTCATTTCGTATGTATTTTTCCCCAGGTATTGTGAACGTGAACTAACATGCATACGCTGTACTTTATTTCCCAAATCCTTCTAGGGAGAGCCCTGTGCCTCTCACCTGAGAGGTAAAACTGGGGGTTTGTAGCAAAACAATATTCACATGGCTTTTTTGTTTTGTTTTTTGTCCTTTCCTTGCGGTATAGGGCAAAACATACCTACCGTAAAACGTTGCTGGAGCAAGTTAAGGAGTTGGAAACGAAGACAAGAGAACTGGGAAAAGCCATGCTTCGTGATAGTAATGGAAAGAGGCAAGTCTATGCTAAATGTTTAAACCAGACCCTTCTTTTCCTCTCCCCTCCCTATTTCTTATTCACTATTAAAATCTGATTGTAGACAGGCTAATAAGGCTTCTTCTCCTGTATTATTTATTTATTGCTGTTCCCTTTCATATGTGTCTGTTCCCCTCACAGAAACCAGCCCTTCCATTTTCATTTCTCCTGCATTATTGCTGTGAAGGTCTGTTGGAAACTGCTGCTCAGTCTCCTGCATGGTAACATGTAGTGCTCTTACCTGGCCACTGAGGCAGGCTGGTTTTCAAAGCACTTTGTTATGTCATCAAAAAAACAAAACAAAAAGATAACCATGTCAGGGGAGGGAACTGTCAGCAGCGCAGGATATTACTACTGTAGCTAAAAGAACTGGCTTAATCCATTGTGCCCTGCAACTTTGTTCAGTTTCACCTTAAGAGGTTTTTTTTATGCTTTTGCTTTTTTCACTCCAGCTTGCAGGTCTCTTGCCTTCAGGGTTCTCAGTTTCTCGTTGTGCCTCTCCCTTATAGCCACACCATATGGACTTGAATATATTGCTATTATTGAACCTTTCATTGTACACAGAGAGTATGTGTTGTGTGGGAACTTTTGTCTCTTCTGAAAGAAGCTAAAGAAAATCATGGTGAGGCTTTTGCATCCAACAGTTTCATTTACCATCTCAGAATGTGGTTCTGCATCAGCTGGTCGGAAAAGCTCCCCAAGTTCAAAAAGGTTTTAGAACTAACTCTTCTGTTCCTTACACAATATGGCACCACATGACTTGCTAAGAAACTACATGATCATTAAACCGGATTTTAGCAAACCTTATAAACTAGCAAACTGAGTGGAATGGGGCTTTTAAAAGATTTTGTTCTTCTGGGGCAGGGTCATCCTTTGAGCCTTTGATGTCTATTCTAAGGTAAACTAATTGCCATATTTTAGCTGCTGCTAAGACAAGCAGATAGTAGATTTTTTTCAACTGAATTTGTGTGTTAATAAGGACTGGTTTTAGGGAAAATTATCAGGCAGTGATTTACTGAGATTATGGTAAACTGAAAAGCTTTTAAAAAAGCTTGTGTGAACTTTAATGTGTTTATAAGATGTCCTTAGGGACCAGAGTTTGCTTCTCTGAGGCCAAGACAAAGTAAACACAGTGTTATTGATTAAGATCACTTCAAAACACTTGGTATCTTCAGTTTTTGAGTAATTTTTCTGCTGCGACTCTTGGATCCAGCAAAACAGAGTTTATAAATTCTGCTCACTAGCAAAAGTCACAAACTGCACATCAAATTATTTAAGAAGAGAAAACAAACTTTGCAGCAACAAAGGCAACCTTCTATGCCACAGTTATAACCAACAAAGATGCTTAATATCAGGCATTTAATTAAATAATGGGCCTTGTTCTTAGAAGGCTGAGCAGTCATTTTGAAGTCAGTTGAAGGCAAAGCACTTAGTACCAAAATCAGGTCAGTCTCCCCAGACAAGAAAGGTGTAACGTGGTGCTGTGAAGTGCTGACTGATAGTGTGATTAGATGCCAGGTAAGTGGAAACTGGACCAGCAGAAAACTGATTGTTCCCAGGTATGAGCTCTGTGAGTTGCCTGGGTGTTGCTGTGGCTCCTATCCATGCACTTAAGTGAGGTTATACCAGTGCTGGTTCGAAGCATTTGTGTTTTCCTGCCAGTATTTAATGCCTGTTATTGACAGTCAGAGAGGAACATGAGTCAGTTTTGTGCCTGGTGCATCCCTGGGTTGCAGGGTGGGTTGAATTGCTGTTAACAGTGAGAGAGAGACAGCATTTGATCTGTTTATATGTGCATGTCTGTGTCTCCAAGAGCTTGATGAGTTTCTTCTCTGTTTACACACTGTCCTGACTTTCTGTAAATTTCATGGCCATGTTGTAATTCATTCATACACTCCATGTTTTCATAGCCTTTTACTTTATTGCATTCTCACTGCAAACTCTTTCATCTGCATTCCTCCTCCATATAGCTTCACTTCATTCTCGAAACGCTTGCATGGAGATGATGTAAGGAATCCCTTCTGGCCCTCCTTCCCATTTTCCCTCCCCCCTTCTTTCCATGCATTTGTTTGTTCTCATTCCTAATTGCTCCCAGATTTTCTGGGTGGTCCATCTGTGAACTAGATAATGGTAGAGTGCCTCTGCCTGCTTGGAGCTGGTGTGCTGTGCTTGTGTTGTGGCCTCCCCACTCCTCTTCAGAGTTGTTCTGTCTTTTATCTCTTTTGTTTGTCTCGTGGCTCTTTCACACCTGCTAGAAATCATGAGCTTGTCCAAAGGGAAGGATGAGGGTTGGAAAGAAATAGAGTGGGAGCTTTCTTCAGTTAGACTCTCTGGTTCATGTTCCTTATTTTTAAAATATTTCCTTGAAGCTGGTGGAAACATGTGCTAAGGTGCATGCTCTGCTCTCCCCTCCTGCCCACAGCCCCATTGCTCTTGGCGTATTTCTGGCAATGTGACATTGTGCAGGAAGGGAAAGTAACAGGACTCTTCTCACTTCTTATAGAAAATAGAGAGCTGTGTAAAAACGGCGCGAGTCCATCTGTCACCTCAGTCCTTGGCTGGAAGTGCTCCTGAGAACATGCCCATTGGGTGCTGGTTTGTTCAGGCAACTGTGGAAGATAAGCTGGCTGTCATCAGGGTCTATTTTCCTGGCCTACATGGTGGACACTGGTTTTGTTCAGTGTTTTTCATAAACAAACAACAGAAAAGCTCACACCCAATTATAGATAAGAGCAGGATTTAGGGAGCTAATTGCTTTTTTCATTTCCTAGATCTTAGACAAAAAATGAGGTGCAAGATATGAGTGTTCAGAACTAGTCTGCTAAACAAAAAGCAGTTTGCAAAGCCTGGAAAGCAGTGAGTGCCTCTAGACTTGCACAAGAGGATGCCAACAGTTTGCTGTGACTCAGCTGAATTGTTGTTAAATGTGGGCAGATATCACCTGGGTCCTTGCTGTGCTTTGGGAAGGAGTTCTGGGTGAGCTGTGTGTGCCACTTGATACCTATATATTCATATCCTGTCTCAGAGGATCTTTACCCTGACAGCTGTTCTTGCTAGGCACATTCTTCTGGGGTAATAACAAATGTCTTCACTAGTGCTCTTCACTAGTTATATCTTTCTGAATCTTAGGCCCTTTGAACAGTTTCTAAAATTGGATTTGCTTGTATTGCTCTGAAAAAGCAGGTGCACAGTTTTTCCCTGCTGTGGCTGGGAATGAACAACAAGGCAAGTGGTTGATGAGGAACTGTTTGGTCTGTGCAGGGCAGAGTGTCAGCACCCTGGGCACTACAGCTGGGTCCCAGAAACCTTGCAAACAGCATTAGAGTGATGCTTGGAGATTATAGCAAGTGTATAATCTTGAGCTTTAACAGGTCATGCTCTTATTCCTTTATATGTCTCATCTGGACAGCTGAAAGCTTAAGTTTGGTAGAGGCTGGGATGATGACAGTCAGATAATTCCAAAAGCAGGGAATTAATCAGGGTGAACATGTATTTGGAAAACTGGAAACTCCAGAAATATCTTGAGAAGCAGGAAAGTGAGTGTGCAGTGAGGAGCTATGGTGGATCCCATGCCATGCTTGCCTGCCTGTGGAAGATGAGTACCCACACTTGCCTTCCCCAGCCTGGGCACCTGGCAGTGCTGGGCTGGACTCCAGCTCAGCTGTGACATGAGCACGCCTTGGTTAGGAAGGGAGAGGGGCTCCCTGGCACTCTCATGTAACAAAAGGCAGGATTTAACACTAAATTTTCATGAATTTGGAGAGGTGAGAGGGGCAGCTCATGTGCCAAAGCAAACATGGACATGAGGAGACACCTGCCCAGCAGATTTAATCATGCTAACATGTAAAGATTTACACAAAGGAAACAAACAAGGTTTGTGTTCAAAAGCAGCATTGAGTTCAGCTGCAGAGATTTTTGTGTCTTTAAATAAGTTTACAACTTAAATCTTGGCTCGTAAAGGGCCAAACCTTCAAGTCCTCATTCATTTTTCACTCCATCTACCCTCTCATTGAAGTCAGCAAGAGTTCAGGTGGAGTAAAGCCTGATTAGGCACTAAAGCAAACTTTGCTTTGGAAACCCATGTCACTTTCTTGCTCCACTGGCCAACTAATGGAGAGTGAGCAAAGCTGTGCAGCACCCTCTTTGCGACAGTAGATTTCCTGTTCCAGAGGGTTTCTCTGTCTTGGAATTGCCAGAGAGATCCCTTTGAAAGTGTCTTTTTGGTTGTTTTTCTGTCCTGTTATTAATTGGTTGGTGGGCAGGATTAGATTGTTTGATACTGAAGAACAATGTGGCTTTCATGATTTGCACACTTTACGAGGAGCTGAAGGACCTCTCTGGGCTGTTGCAGAAAAGTGCCCGCATCGCTCAAGTGTTGGGAAGAATTTCTTCTAACGAGTCAGAAATCTGGGAGGCAGTCTTGCCTTGAACAAAAGTGAAGGGAACTGACTACAGACCTAGCAAGGTATAGCTGCAGTGTGTGTTTGCACAGCATTTTTCTGTATGCCCCTTTACTTTGGCTGCTCTCAGACACCCACTGGTGATGGCTGTGGTGCCGCTTTCATCTCCATATCATAAAACAAATACTGTTTTTTCCAGTGCACCTAAAACAGCAGCCCCCCACAATCTCTCCATTGCCTGTTTTCAACAAGGAGACATTCTGGTGTAGATTCTCTTTCATTTTAGTACTTCTCACCAAATCTAACCCAGTTTCTTTGCTGAAAAGTTCATGACCAGCTCTCACCCTAAGAGCAAGTTGTATTATCTATCTTGGCCTTGGTTTTATTTGGTGTGGGAGGGCAGGTGCCTGTCTCATTTCAATAGCTGTGTAACATGGTAGGTAATCAGTGAGCTGGCACAGGCATCCTTGGAGATTTCCCTGCTCCACAGGTCGCCGGGGAGGAGCAAGAGGGCAGCATGGGAAACTTGCCTTGGGCTTGTGGCTGTGCAGAGAACTGAGTGGCAGAGGCTCAGCCTCT